CAGTTACAGACTACACCAGAGCTCCACCACCCTGCCCCTGCACAGCTGACCCTCCAGGGATCGTGGAGGTTGGTAGTCACTGGTCACATCCAGTTCTTGTAGCTGACTGGCTGGGGTAAATATCTCCCATTGATCTGGCAGCAGCCACCAAGTCTCAACTAGAAGAGGAGAGCGTCCTCAGCACACAGAAAGGGCACACCTAGAAAACCCTGCAGGGTTATAGCAAGGGTGTGCCAGTGGACCTTAGAGGACACCGACTACATTAGGTCACACGACCAAGACACAGGGTCAAAGGAGTTCTACATAATACAGAGAAACAAACACAGGGAGGCTACAAAACAAGGACGCAAAGAAACTTGGCCGTAATGGAAGAACTGATCAAAGCTCCAGAAGAAGTAACCGGAATATAGGCAGGCAATCTCTCAGATGCATAGTTCAAAACACTGTTTCTAAAGATGCTCACAGAAATCACTGGGATTGTCAGCCACAGAAAAATGACCCAGTCAGAAATGAAGTAAAGAAGCATTTACAGGGACCCCTCAATAGAGTGGATGAAGCTGAGAAAGAAATCAATGATTGGGAATATAGGGGAGCAAAGAACAATGACTGAGAACGTGAAGAATGAAAAAGAATCCAAAACAAGGAGAATAGTGTAAGCAGCCTTTGGGTCAACTTGAAGTGGTCCCACATTGGCATGATAGGGTTGTAAGAAGGAGAGGAGAAGAGCTGGAAATTGGAGATCTATTTGTAAAAATAGTGCAAGGAAACTTTCCTGACTTGGTGAACAAATATACGTGCCTGTTCAGGAAGCACTGAGAATGCCACTCAAGTTGGAAGCAAAGAGACTGTCTCCAAGACACATGCTAATTATAAGGTCAAAGTTTAAAGATAGAGACTCTTAAAAGCAGCAAGGGAAAAGAAGTTAGTTAGCAGGTGGTTGTCAGATGGGAGGGGAAGAGGTGAGAATGGGTGAAGAGATGACGGGGTTAAGAGGTAAGAAAGGGTAGTTAGAGAATAGCCATGGAGGTAGAAACTGTGTATAGGAAATGGAATAAGCAAAGAAGTTACACATATGACCCATGGACATGAACAACGGTGGGGGGATTGCCTTAGGGAGTAGGGGGTGCTGGGTGGAAAGGTCAAAGGGGAAACTGAGGAGAAGGGTAACAGAGTAGTGAATACAATATAATTAAAAATTGCAATAAAATATAAATACATCTATATATCTATACATTTGGTGATTCACAGTATCACAACTAGGATGAGTGGTGTTTTTGAGTAGGACTACGGGAATAGATGACAGCCTAATATGAATTTTAAGAGTCTAATTTTTATTGATACATTGTAAAAACATAGGACAAGACTTTTTGTTTTTTTTTTTGTAGGAAATACACAATAAAATACTCAGTGATAATTAGGTATCTGGTTAGCATTTTCTAAGAAACTTATGTCCCAATTTTCTCTGTTTTGTGGTTCCTTCAAAATACTGGAAAACATTGAATTTATAACTTCCCGCTGAGAAAAGACTAGTCCTAACTGGTTTCACTTGGTTCCTTCTATGAAGAACTTAAGGAATAGTTGAAGTCAGTATATTGGAAAATCTTTCATCAAATAGAGAAGGAAATACTATGCAAATCATTTTTATGAGCTTAGCAGAACTCAAATTAGGGAAAGATATTATAAGAATAGAAAATTACAGACCAGTCTGCTTCATGATCATAGGTGCTAAAACCCTCTACAAAATATGAGCAAATCAATGCAGCAATATGCAATAGGTCACTGCTGTCGGGTGAAGTGACTGGCATTTGACTTAACTGCTCTGATTCTAGCTTTCCTCTTTCCTCTCCGTGAATATAGTGCCTGGAATGTTGTTGATGACAATTTCTCCCTCCCCTTCTCAGTGGGAGGCATAGACTTTGGGCCAGTAACAGGACTTTCTCCCATGGGGCATAGCTCAGCCTTAAAAGGAAAGGAGAGATTGGTGTAGCTTGGACACACATGGGCTGAGGGTGTTGTGTAGGAGGCTGAGCATGAGGGTGTCCCTCAGGCTCTCGGGACTTCTCAGCCCACAGGGACCTGTGCGGAGAAAGGTCCCAGCCCTCGTATTAATCACTAAGTAGGTCACAGTTGGGCAGTGTGCGCATCCTTGGACGGGGGGAACGTGCATCCCAGGGTCCCTCCACATGTTTGGGGCTCCCCTCTGTGAGCCGAGTGGCTCTGCGACTGCATGGGGTGAAGGGGCAGCATTGCAGGGTCACCCAAGGACTTTGGCCTTTCTGAAGTTTGCTATACAAAGTGAGGAATTACAAGTGTTGGTGAGGATGTGGAGAATCGGAACCCTGGTGCACTGTTGAGGGATTATGGAACGTTAATACCAGGATGGAACACTATGACCCTTCATCAAAATTGAAAATTCAAGTGCCGTATGATTCAGCAATTTCTCTTTTAGGTGTATTTAGAAAGGTTTGAAGACAGAAGTTGTAGAGATATTTGCACAGCCATGTTCATAGCAGCTCTATGCACAGTAACGAAGAGGTGAGACAAACTCAAGTGTCCATAGGAACTGGGCAAAGAATGGTAGTTACCAGTGCTTGGGGGAATGAGGAAAAGGAATTTTGTTTAATAAGTAGAGAGTTTTCAGTTTGCAAGACAAAAATGTTTTAAAGCTCTATTCCTTCGCAATGTAAATATACTAAATACCCCTGGATTTTTTCATTATAATTAAAATGGTAAATTTTATGTTCTGTGTTATTTACCAGAATTTAACAAAGATAATGGCAATATGAAACATTGTAGAGGCTGCAGAGAAACTGCATTTCTCATACATCGCTGGTAGAAATGTGAAATGGGATAACCACTCTCTGAAACAGTATTATAATTTCTTTAAAAATGGAATGGTCACATATATTTATCACACAACCATTCACCTTACTGGGCACTTAACTCTGAAGGATGCAAACTTGTGTTTACACAAAATCCTGCCACCGGTGCTCTTGTAATAGACAAACTGTTGTTTATTTCTCACAGCCAAACTGCAAAACAACTATAATGTCCCTCAGTAGGTAAATGTTATGCAAACTTACAGAGATGGAACAGTCAATGGTGGCAGTGGGTGGCCGTGCGCCTCAGGAGGCAGCACGAGGAAACCGTGGTGTGGACGGAAGAGTCTTGTGTGTTGATGCAGGTGGTGGTTACATGAATCTCCACCGTGATAAATGCACATGAGACTACAGGTACCCATTTCATCTTCTCACAGTATTTAAGTAGTATGATAATTGTGCAAGATTCACCACTGGGGAGAACCGGATGAAGGGTGAATGTGACTTCTCTGTGGTACCTTTATGTTTCTGTGTGAACCTGTAAGTATTTCAAACTGAAAGCTGAAACTTTAAGGAAGGTTAGTTTTTCATGTATTTAAAGTTGTTGATGTTAGATTGTTGAAAATGTATTGGGAATGTAAGCAAAACTTAAGTGTTGGTCATTGAAGAAGACAATGCAATATGTTTGTTTTACAGGAACATTTCAGAAACTTGAAATTCAAGTCTGAGCGGCCAGTCACCACCCCAGCATCAGGGAGGCTGCCCTGAGGCCAGGATCGCACCGAACTTTGTCACTGTCAGCTGGGAGCCTAAACTTCTGATGAGCTTCCCGTCATTGTTGGGGTACCCTGAGGAATAATTTCCCACTTAGTTCAACCCAGGGGCAATCTAATACCTCGGTGTGTGATTGCATAGTTGTGTCTGATGATCTTAACAACTCATCAGGGGACACGTTGCACTGGGAGAGTAATTCATGTTCCTGTGGACCTGCCAGGCCGAGCCACTGTACACAAGGCAATTTCCATTTTGGACAACATAATAGTAGTTCCCAGCTGGAGATGAAATCACTACGTCCCTCTTCATAACCCTGATTCCTGCTAGTCCCCCTCAGCACAGCTAAGAGCGACCCACCTGCACCAGGCCACAGGAATCGGCTTTGGCACGGATGCTGCTGTAACTTGTGGCTCAGGAGGGCAAAGGAGAGAGTAAGTGTTTTCCAGAATGTCTCTTGCCTGTTTTATTCTCTTCATTCCATATGTGCACTCAATCTGATATCTACGATCCCTCTCTTTCCACCTTTCTTTGTTGTATTAATTTTTGTGTACAATGAGTATTTTTTTAAATACCAGCTTTAAGAATTTCTTTTTCTTTCCTTTTTTACTGGTTAATTGTCCATATTTAAAATTTTCTTTTCTCGTTTTAAAATTTCTGCTTTGTGTTGTTGGTTATTTTCATTTTTCTTCTTTAATTTACATTGATATCAAGGAATCTCCCCACCTATATCTTACATATTTTTTGTTAGTGTCCTACCTTACTCGCTCATACTTGATTATAGATTGAAAAATGAAAGTGTTGATCTGCTAGTCTGCTAGTCTATTCCAGGCTCTCTTTCTTACATCCATCCTGCTTGGCCCTTCCGCTGTTAAGGGCTCATCTGCACGGTTATCTATTTCTGGTCTTCGGTTCACTTTGTTGGCTGCTCCGTCTCTTCAGTTTTGATTCACTTGCTTCAAGGGCATACTTTAAATACTTGACTGTGTTTTATGTCTTTCAAGTATGTATTTAATCATTTTCCTTTGCAATAATTATATGTCATTTTCTTCATTGTTCTATTTATCTAAATCTGCAAGATACTTCAGTCTTTTATCTAATTACAGTATTTCTGATGTTTCTAAGGTTTTTCTCTGCCATACTGTACTATCAGAGTTATAATTGTTTTTTTCCTTCTTCATTTTCCTTTTTTAATGCCTAAGTCTACTATCTTTTAGGCTAAATTCACTTGCATATCCTGTCCACTGTGCATACCTGAAATTTAAGTTATGTTTGTGGCAATTACTTTTCTCCTATGGGGATTTGATATTGCAATATATATATATATCCTTGAAACCTGATTAACTACTTCTCAGTCTTAATTATTTTTAATGTTTACATTCTAGTGAAATTGTTTGTCTATAGGATGTGCTGACCTTGTTTGGAAGACCTAAGAGAGACCGACAGACAATGATTTCCAATGACACCCTTTTTGGGATCTTCCTCACCATTCAGACTGGTGTTGGTTTCATGGGCAATGCCTTGCTGTTTTCATTATACATGTACACCTTCTTAATTCTCCCTCGTCAGAAGAAGCCTGCCAATGGGATCCTTGCCCACCTGACTTTGGCTAATGCCCTGACCCTCTTATTCAGAGGGGTTCCAAATATAATCTTTTCCTTTGGAATTAGACCTGAGGTAGGTGATATTGGGTGTAAAATGGTGCTCTTCATCCAGAGAGTTACCCGAAATATTTCTCTGAACACAACCTCTCTCCAGAGTACATTTCAGGCAGTGACTATTGCTCCAAACAACTCTAAATGGGCCTGGCTCAAGAAGAAAATCTCTACACTCATTCAACCCTCTTTAGTTTTCTTCTGGGTCATCAACATGGTCATCTATGCTGAGGTTATCGTAAGAACTGTGGCCAAGAGGAATATCACTGATGCTACATGTGGGTATTATACTCATTTTTGTAAAGTCACATCATGTGCACATGAGGTAACAGTAACATTCCTCAGTACAATATTCATTCAGGATTTGTTCTTTCTCTCTCTGATGGCATGCAATAGTGTCTACATGATGACTGTTCTTTCCAGACACCACAAGACAGCTAAGCTCGTCCGCAGTAGCACCTCCTGTTCCCGAAGCTCCCCTGAACACAAAGCGACCCACGTTATTCTCATACTGGTTTGCTGCTTTATTTCCTTTTACTGGACCAACAGCTTTCTTACTGCTTATTCAGAGCTAGGAAATAAGAGAAGTTGGCAGCTGGAGAACATTAATAACTTTATTTCATCATGTTACCCAACCATTTGTCCTTTTGTATTGATTAAGAACGAGAATAGAATTTCCAGAATGAATTTCTTCAGTACAAGGAGCAGAGTTTTTTCCCCTTAGAGAGCACGGAATGATCATACGAACCCCCCTTCATCCATGTTCACCCACAAGGCTCATATCTGTGCTCCAAGGGCGAAGCTTATCAATGGCCTGCATGACATATTTAGTCCCCATTGTACAGAGATAACAAGGTAAAGAAACATAATCAATCCATTGTCAATTTATGAAATATTGGAGACATTAAATGTAATGTTTAGATTACTATACTTTTATATGGGGTTTAAACTTTAAAGGAATAACATGCAATGTGCTGTGTTTTGTAATACTGGAAAGGTTATGAAATCAAAAAATTATAAAAAAATGATAAACCCAGATGAGGACAGTGTTTTCTTTTGAGTGTAAGTTAATTATAACCCTAATTAGGTGATGAAGTACATGTGTCTCTAAGTGTATGTACTCTATACTTTTGTATATCAGAAATATTTTTGGTTTAGTTTTTATAGTAAATAAAATTCTTTATAAGTACAAATCATTTCTTTATACTTTTGTATATCAGAAATATTTTGGTTTAGTTTTTATAATAAATAAAATTCTTTATAAGTACATAAGTACATTGGCACCTCCTGATGGAAGAGCTTTTCTCCACTTCCTGTCACCGCAAAGGATGAATACCAAGCTTATGGAACAACAGCTGTGTTTGTGTTAGATGGTTGGTGTTGGGGTTAGGGGTAAAGTTAAGGTTCAGATTCAGGCCTGAGTTCAGTGCCAGGGTTCAGAATGGGGTTTGGATTCATGTTAGGATTAGAGTTAAGGTTAGGGTAGGGATCAAGGTTACAGTTAGGATTTGAGTTGTGGGATCAGATTTGGGCTGGGCCTGGGGCCAAGTGTATGGCCTTGAGTTAGGGTTTACGGTTGGGGTTGGTGTTAGGGTTGGGGTTTGATTCATGTTAGTTATGGAAAGCAGTTCGACTTTTTAATTTTGGCTTATCATTTGGGTTTGATGTTTAAGAATTTTTTACCAATTCAAAATTATAATGTTTTAATTCTGTTCTGATATATAGTTTTATATTTTTGATCTTACCTATAGTTTGGAAATATTTTGTGTTACTTCTGTTGCATTACAAAGTTAGGTTCTAACTTTTCCCTTATTTTAATCTTCACGCAAGAACATGGTTGTTGATTTTACAGAGAGGGGAATGGAGAAAGAGAGAGAGAGATGGGGGAGCAAGAGAGGCAGAGAGAGAGAGCAAGAGCGAGCGTGCGAGAGCAGGAGCATGAGTGAGCTTGGTTCTGGGAACCTGTGACCCTAATGAGAAGTGTCATGCCATGTTTTTTGAACTGAGATGAAATGCACAGAATATAAGTGTTACCATGTTAGAACTTTTTTGAGTCTACCCATCGATGGCATCAAGTACATTCATATGTTGTGTTCCCTTCATCCTATCTAGTTCCAGAACTTTTTTTTCTCCCCAAATGCAGCCCCTCACACTTTAGCAGTCACTGCCCCCATTGCTTGGCAGCCACCCATGTATTTTCAGGCTCTGGGTTTGCCTGTTCTGGATATTTCTGATAAGTGCTGTCACGGGTTATTTGCTCTTTTCTACCTGATTCTTCTCATCGCATCTGACATGTCTTCAAACCGGCAGGAATTACAATTGATGTTTTGGGGTCTTTTGTAAATAACTCAGACCTAGTCTCACTCTCGGGCGTGGAGCACGTGACCTTGCCTGGGCATGCCGGCTAGGCTCGCAGTCCCCATCTCCCGGGGAAGCGTCCTAAGGACCCCTGGTGTTGTTGGGAGAGCTGGTGAAGGGGTCTCCTCCTCGCTTGTTACTCAGTTTCCTGCAGCGTTGTCCCTAGCCCCTCAGTCCCTCCACAGCCGCGTCTGGCCACCCAGAGACCTGAACGTTTCTAGACCTAGGCGTCTGTCCAAGAAGTGTTCCTGCCACAGGACTTCCTATTCCTTGTCCTCAGGAGCATCTGTCCACCCCGAGGGGCTACCCCTCACCCCGTTCCGTGCACATACTCCATGTCTGTGGGGTCGATTTCAAGAACCTGTTCAAAGAGACAGGCTGAGTGCACATGTGTTGGGGGTCCTCAAGCGTGGGGCCTTGGCTTATCCTGCCTTGGACATAGGATCAAAACCTGATCTCTTTTAGGCTCATGAATGTGGAACAAGAAGTGTTTTTATTTTCATTCATGTAGTAGTGTCCATAAAATGGACATTGAAAAAACGGTAATACATTAGTTACGCTAGATTCTTCAGAAAGTAGAACAAGCATCCATGTATTCAATGTCTTATTTAGGTGTTTTAATGTAAATTAGAGAGTGGAGGAGAGAAATGGTGTTGAGTCAACGTGAGTCTTGAGCTGCTTGGAGCCAGGCTGTTCTAGCTGTCACAGACCTCCAAGCAGTGAGGACCCCTGGTTTCCAAAACCATGTCATTAAGTCCTATCTGCCATGGCAAGAGTATGGGGAGGGGGCTGAGGAGATGAAGGTTGGTAAGAGAGGGTCCTCACGCCCCTCCAGGACCACGAGTGCTCCTGTAGCCCCTCCAAGGCCACCTGTGGAAACCCCCAAACATGGCGAGAAAGTCATGGTGATTCCACAGAGATTCTGTACAAGCTTCCCAGGTTCCCCTTTCCCTTTGTGCTCCTTCTAACCCCTCCTTAGATGGACGGAAAGGCTAATCCCCACAAATATGGAAGGAATTTCACAGTCTGGGCAAAGAACCAAGGGCAATAAGTACACACCCAGGGGATATTACTCTTTACTGATGTAGGGGACCCCTTTCCATGGACTCAGTCTTTATCTTTAAAGCGAGGTGTACGGACAAGGTCACCTGTAGGTGTTAATTCTGCTTCTTGACTCACTGGTACCTTCCCTCTTAGAATCACTGGTGTTCGCATGGCGATTGCTAATATCCCTGCCAGCTGTGTCACCCAGGATCTCTCATAGTTCTTGAGACAAGATAACCAGCATAATGTATCTAATTGAGCCCCTTTATTTAGACTTTATAACAAAGAAAAGTTATTAATAACAATCAGATGGTTAGGGACGTAGTTTTCCTAAATGAAGCACGAGGGGTGTTCCATTTAACTGTTGGATTAATGTTTGTCCTTCTGCCTTCCTTGTATCTAAAACCCTGATTTATATAAAGCCACACAGCATTGTTCCTGGTTGGGAAATGCCCTGTCTGGTTTCAGGAACTGTAACCCTGCCGATAGGCTGGAGGGCCCCAAGGCTGGAAATAATCAGGAGGCCTTGAGAAACAGGCTCCTGAGGAGACATAACCTGTCCTCGCTGCCAGGGGCGTAGCTCCTGCTTCGCTGCTTTGCCATGTATGATTGGAATTCAATGACAGGTAAGTTATCTTGAGCTGAGGTATACAACCCAAAACAGATGCTGATTGAATATTGGTAGCAGACAAGAAATTGGGGGACACGGAGAAAGGGCAAAAAGACCAGCACATCTCAGCTTAGCATGGACATGGCCAGAGTCCTCATTCTATCTGAAAGAGGTCTCCTTGTCTCTTGGTGGCTCCTTCCCCCTTTCTGGCTCAGGCTTGAAACAATACCACGGAATCAGTTCTAAACCAGATCTGGCGGTTCCCAGGGAAATCAGGCCTAAAAGTAAATTATTTAAAGTGTGCTTTGTTCTTCCTTCAGAAGCTGTAGCCAGCTCATGCTGGGAAGGAAATTTACATTATTCACAGACCCTTAGGCACTCTTATGTTTACTACACTCTCACGTTTAGTCATCTCTCGTTTACTACTCTCCACTGGGACCCATATAAATCGATATATTCCTGCTATTTGTTGTCTTCAAAACATCAACCATTTGCAGTGAACAGTAACATAAGGATGCAATGAGATAACCTGTGCATTGCTTTTAACCTAGCCCCACTGATAATGTTTTCAATAAAAGCCTTTGAACAAAGGGACTCAGGGCCTTTCCCACTAGAAGGACGTGCCACATCCCCTCTCCTGGCAAACAGAGAAGTGTTTGCGATGACTCGTGTTTATTCCCCCCATCCCTGACAACCCCGGGACGGGCTCTGTGGGATTCAGAGCCCTGCTCCCATCTCAGCTGGCTGTGGACGGTCTCCCTCAGATCCTGGGAGCGACCCAGGAGGCGTTTCCCCACAGTGATGTGCCACCCTACTCGCCACTGTGCAACGCGACGGTTCCTCAGCAAGGGCATGTATGTTGGGATCAAGCTCTCTTAGGGGAGGAGCCACTGTGGCTGGCAAGTGTCGGCTGTGTACTGAGGCCATCAGTGAGACGATGCAAGATGAGTACATTTGTTTTCAGTCCTGCTGATCCAGAGGAGACAGCCATGAGCTGGAAAGGCATCCTGAACTTTCAAAGACAGACGAGGTGCCTATATCAGGGGCCTGGGGACAGTTACACTCTGGTCATGTTCTACCCTCTTCAACTGCAGAAGTGAAATTCTTTGCCCCATGACTAAGTAAGGCGGGGGACTTTCAAACAAGGATCTGGAAATCAGGACATGATGGCTTGGAGGTCCAGGTGATGTGATGATGACAGAATGCCCAAACTTTGCCACTTCGCTCAAGATTGCCACCCTCACACACCCCACTTGATGCAGAGGTCACAGGATCAGGACTGCAACTCCAAGGGCTACAAAGAGGGATAATTCCTAAGTCAGAAAATGTAACCATAGTGTTCCACTTCTGTCACATTTCCTAAGAACCTGGTAGGGCCGGATGTGCCTTTCCCCATCTGACAGACCTGGGGCTAACAGTGAGTGCAGCTGTTTTGCCTGGTGATAAGGCTAGCTGGCTGAATTCTGCACCTTTGTAACCTCACCTTCCCTGAACAAGAATGTACTGAGGAGGGCAATTCCTGGACTGGTATTGTGCCTGCGTCTGGATCAGCACGTGGTGAGCCTAAGATCCCTTCAAAGGTAGAAGATTTTGCGTATAAAAAAATAAGGGAAACGAGTAAGTTAGGATAAGGGGTGAAGATATGAGTTAAGTAATAAAGGTAGTTCCATATTTCATTAAGACCTCAAAAAAGGCAGAGAGCACTACATGAC